ATGTCTGTGCTCTTCGGTATGTTTCTGAGGAGCCCTTTTGATTAACTGCACAGGATTATATATGGAAGCACTTTGGACTGTGTTTTGCATAGGACAGGCACACCACAAACTCCTGTAACCTGTATACTTAGCAGGGAAAATTGGTCAAATTCACAGTGTTCTCACAAAGCCAACCTTCAGCTACTACTACTAATTGTTAACACAGTTTAGCTCTGCACCTCAGGCTGAAGGCTTATACTAACACAGGCACCGGATTACTTTTTATCCTCTCATGGTGGAAAGCGATTTCTCCCAGCCATGTTTCTTTGACACAGAAAATCAAAAGCTATACTTTGCTGAAGACAGAGCTTTTAATAGCCCTCAAATAGCAAAGAGAAGGCAAACATTATCCTCTTTTAAAAGGTTTGCATACATCACAGCATTGCTGGGAACATTGGTAACACACAGTTAGATGATGATGGACCAACAATGATCATAGAAATGTGCAGCCTGCTGCACAGCAGTCCTGCAGCAGGGCTGCTTGTTTTCAAAAGGACAGGTAGAGGTACATCAACTGAAAACACATGACCTCTTGAAGCAAGTATATGCTGGAGTGTGAAAGTGTTCACCCCGACACCGTTTTATGCTTGTCAACTCCTGTGCTCATCCCCAAGAAATAAGACAAATAACATGGCAAAGAATAGGCTATAAAATGAAAATTATGGGATTTCTATGTTTTCTTTTCCTTAGAGACTAACCCACAGTTTCAGCATTTTTGGGGTTCCAGTCTCCAAGTTAATATTCCACTCAGAAACCACAATAATATGTAAAGTATTTAGTCAGCCTACAAATAGTGCTGCACTCAACATAAAAAAGCAATTACTCATTGCTTGATAAGGAGGTAAAAGGGAAGAAAATCTTGCCAAGTAGGAATCATATTTTATGCCTGTGTTTGATATGCATTTATATGCTCATATCTCTGTCCAGACACTTGCACTTTTAAGTGTGCTTAAAGGGGGAATTCTAAGGAAAAGCTCTAAGTACGGTTAAAGAAAAACATTTTGTAAAAAAGTAATCTAAAGGAAATATATGCCTAAGGGACACACTTTCTGAGGGAAAAAAAATAAAAATATTTCCTGAACCATATGTTGCCAACACAGAGAGAACTTCCCCATAATGGAAAGCTAAGGCTTTGTGAAGATATTAACGTATACCACATGGTTGCTAGGCAGAGGGGTTTCACACAAATGCAAGAAATTAGTCTATTCTCTCTGTTACTAATGTGCTGGTGTAGTACACACTGAGAAGCAACCTCCCACACCTAATCGAAATAAACTGTCTTCCATTTGATTTTGAGGAAGCAGGGCAAGAGCAGATTAAAACTTAATAGCCTGCCCCAGTTGTGTTAGAGCTGTATTCTGCAAACACTTACTACTGGGAGTGATAACTCCCATAAGCAGTATCACAGTGTCCTGTAAGTGCCTGAATAGCGGGTCCCACTGGGTGAATTTCACCTCTGAGCAGAGTGGCTCCACAAATGTATGAGCTACTTAAGTTTCTCTCATAAACAGAGAAAAGACTGAAGTGGCAGGCAATCCAGTCCTGGCCCTCTCACACACGGCTATTATTAAACCTTTACAATGTGCTGTATAGTTCGCAACATGTAGTGGGTCTTTTTTTCCCATTACACCATTTTTGCCACTCTGAATGCACAAATAGGCTTTGCTGAAATTTAAAGAGGCTTTAGAACACCTGAGACGTGACCAGTACTTCTATGTTAATAATGGTTAATACAAAACCATCTGAAAAACCAATTCTGTCTTTGTTTTAAAACTAAGCATCTGAATAACTGCAGACAAAGGGCTTTTCAAATATCTTTGTTTAAAGCAAATATGTGAAAACCAAATAGAACCACATTTTAAAAATCTGGTTTAGGTACTTCCATTATTTGCGAAAACCTTTCATTTGGTGTGCCATAATCAAGAAACGGAAGAAGAGTAAAAGCACTTAGTGTCTATGGGCACGGTTAATGATTCAGAAAGGTTGCACTTCTGTAACTATAGCTTGTTCTGAAGTGCACTTGTAAGATGTAAGGAGGTTTTTTTCAGGTTTAAAACAAAGACAGGGATTCAATATGTATTTGATAGTTGCTCTAATATGCACAAGTCATTAAGATCTCAGAGGTTAAGATGTCTGCACACTATCCTATTAACAGCTATAGCAACCTAATTAGACAATTAGAGGGAAAAGCTAAATCAGTACTACAGAGGGAGAAAGGACCATGGCTAGGGGGTAAAATAAGGGCCCAATTCACTAAAAATTGATGTTTCCAGAGGTAATTTGAGCTGCTTGCAATTTTGCAGAGGAATCTAGACTAATCTCCTTGTGTAAATATGTGGCTCTTGCATAATTTCTCTCTGACCTTCTGCAGCCAGACCTTTGGCCTGCCATCATCTCCTTGGATATCACTCGAGTAGTCTCACCTGTGTGGACTTCGCACTTGTTTATAGCTAATCATGTGAGACTGCTTTGCCCAGCTGCCAAACTCAGGAGGAGACTGGTGCCAAGAACAGAATGATAAAGGACTTGGTTCTTCCATTCACACTGCTACAGATTGGCAGTAAGTCTGTTAAAGGAGGGTGATTTATAGTGGAGTAAATCAAGTGGATCAGGCCTTTAGACTTCTTTTGGAATTTCAGATGCCTTTGGATATATTTAGCCCACTGAATCCAAAAGCACCTTGAGTGTTCACTTGTTTGGTATCCTGGTATATCCCAGTGTTCTGAGGCTTAATCTATTATGACATACCATTTACTTATGAATTAAACTGTACTCAGTAACATTAAAACAGATCATTCATAAAATTTGTTTTCTCAAGAAGAAATGACTCAAATAAGTCACTACAGTTAGCAAACATGAGCATGTTTACTGACACTGGTTTACGACCTCATCCAAGGATTTCTGTGCTCCTGATGTGGTAGGCTAATAGAGGTGACTAGTGCACTTCCTTTCAGATTTTTCCATGGTAGGTGAAAAGAAAGACTGACTACATTAATATCAGAATGGGTATTTTAACTGACTCATAAAAGGAGGAGCTGACTTGCCTAGAGGCCATGTTATCAGGATGCACCTGAGAAGAGTAAAAGACATAATCTGTGAAAGACAGGGCATGAATGGGAACCCTTATTAATGTCAGGTTAGCATTTCTCCACTGCACCTGATATCAGGTCCTACTTTAAAAGGTATGTTCATTCATGGAGTCTTCTTTGGGCTTGACATGCCTGGACAGTGAAATGGACTCCCTTTTGTTAACTGTACTCCTTGGGACTGCAGCAATTTTCACTCTGCTTCTCACTTGCAAAACCCTTCTGCTTTCTTGACAGATTAAAATATCATTTTTTAAAGTTCCTACTACTAATACCGTAGCTGGCAGGATCGAGAACCACAGTCCCACAGCTATACCTGGGGAGCCTATGACTGTACTTAGAAACAGGAAATTTAGAATATTTTTGGCACATCAACACTATGCCCAAAGCCATTTTCTTTATCTTCACAATCAGTACTACAGATTTTATTACTACTCTTCTTTAATTACTGCTCTGTTCATTGGAAGTACAGCAATTTTATAACAAAAGAAAGCACAAACTGCATACGCCCATGAAACTGTGATTCTTCCATATATTATGAAGTCTCAACTTGCATTTGATTTTGTACATTCCCTTCACTGGTTTTCACTATGATCCTTTCATAACAAGTTTCACCTGCACATTTTCAATTTCCTGCTAACAAACTACAAGAGGAATTTGATTTTATTTTTACAAGTTTTGAATAGCATGACTATGCCTCCGGTTATTTATATTCTGCTGTACTGAGCTGTCATTGGTTCTTGTACATCCTGAAAACAACTTCACAAGGAAGATCCCATTCCTAATGGAAATTTGCCATTGACCTCACTGGGAACAATAGCACACATCCTCTCAGCTTGCGAGTACTTGTCTTAGTTCAGGATGTCTATAAAGAAAAACTACTGCAATATAAGTCTAGGTTTGAATTTAAAGTGATTATTCTGCAATAATTCCTCATGAAGACATTTATTCTGCACTCTGAGAACCAGTGTAATCCACTTCCAAATATGCAGAACAAAGTGGTGGAAAGCACTGTGAGCACAGATTAACAGCTGCCTCATGGGAAACTGCTACTCTGGGCTTGCAGAAATGATCCTCTTCAGTTGAGGTAATTTAATTAAAATTTTTTTTAAAAATTTTCTAAACAGACAAGGCCCCATTCAGGCAATAAGGTACTGCAAGCATGGACAACATAAATGACTCACCCTAGAAGTGAAGAACCTTCAGGAATAGAAGCATAATCCAGTCTCAACTCACATGGGTAGCAGATTAATTTTCCTTATGAGAGATCCTTCTGTAATCCAGGGATAGCTCTGCTCCTTTCCCTAAGGTATCTCTGACTGGCTGCTCTAGCAGTAATGACACCAGCCTGGATGGCTCATGAGTGGGATGTGAGCTGCTATCTTACTTTTCCTGGTGAACAGATAAGATGCATCACTGTACCAGGTGTTCCTTTGAGTGCTCAGATGAAGCATGCTCTTAATCATGTCTGCTGGCACGCCATTAAAATAGGCCATATCTGACTTTCATTCAATGGAGACAGTTTTGAGGGAAGACAAGTAAAGTAGGATTGAAAATCAAAAGAGATGACTTAATCCTAGTTGCAATTAGTGAATCGGGCCCTCAAAACCAAGACAAAACAAGTAAGGGTAACAGCTATTGGAATACAGGAACTACTAGCTAACACAAACATCTAGGGAGAATTTTTAAAAACACTCATAAACTGACCATACACTGTGTTGTAAGACATTTCATGACCAGGTGAAGCAGTTGAAATGTCTATGAACAAAATAAATTGGGAAAAAAATTAAATATACAAAAGGATGAAAATACTTAAAAGTTTAGTAAAAAGTGATTCCTCCAAAATGCATTTGCTATGAGTAAATAATGAAACTGAGAACTTCCTTACCATTCAGGGCTACGAAGGAATCTGAAAGACAAATAACAGGGGAAAAAATAATTATTTCTCTCTTGTTTTTTTCTTTCAAATAGTTTGCTGCTATCAATCATTTATGTTTCAGCTGACATTTGCAAGTGTATGATTATTACATTAAGAACCCAGGCAAAACTAATATTCAGACATACCCAAAAACAATGTCTGACTCTGAAAGTGTCCATGACCAGCTTTGTGCACAGGTTACCAAGTGGGAAGGCCAGTGTCCTCCCTGCCATGGTTTTCTTTGTAAGTTCTAACCTAATGCAAGGCACTGCAAGAGATGCAGACAGCAATGTGAGTCACTGAGGACAAAACTCACATGACCCAAGGCCACATGTAGTAATAAGATCAACTGGATTAGCAGGGACTGAAATCGACCCCTGTGAGTGTCAAGGTTCAATGCATCATTCATGGCTAAAGAGAGATTTAAGCAGGGCATAGGCTTTGTTGCTCCCTGCACAGAGGCAGACCTCTCCATGAGCACGACGTGTTGTCTCTGAATTATTTCCTACACGTCTTTCATATGTAACTGATACCAGGTACACTCCACTCCTACCTAACCTATTTGCCCAAGGAGAGCAGAATTGGCTGAAAAGGGCAAAGATGCACCAGCTGGGAACTGACCTGATTTTGGTGCTAACCCATTTTACAGGGAGCAGAAGAGAGGCTACGTGTACACCCCCTTCAAAAACCTTAGAGACAGCCTACATAACCCTATCTTAGGGCAGAGGCTGAAATCCTTGTATTCTCTCAAGCACAGTGATCATAGTAATTATTGGCTTTTGAATAAGGATGTACAAGGCATGAGCAGGTTCTGCTTTCTCCAGAGCAGCTGACCTGCACTGTATCCCATGGCACACTCTAGCCCTCAGTTATTTTGCTCTGTATTTCAGAAGTAATGACTCTTTCATTGTATATTATTTCCTCAGCTTCATCAGTCTTACTGCATCTATAGGCATCAGTGCAAATTGCAATAAAAGAATGTGATTCTTGATTTCATGAGGTTTATAAATAATATTTGGGACTCAGAATTAAACCAACCTTGTGAGAACATCTGGAACAAGAGCTGTTCCAGAGCTGACCACAGACATTGGTATTCCTGAAGGCTCAGAAATCAGCGTGCAAGGTTTCTCTGCATACAGTGCAAGCTGTGCACTTTTAAGCATTTCAGTGCAAAACTGTAAATGTTTGAAGACTGTGTTTAAGCTTCCAGCTCACGCTGTCAATACCTAAGGTTTATCATTAAATTTCTTTAGGCAATGTCAGTAGTATTCTGATCCTTAATGCCACTATGTTGTCCAGTCTGCATATAAAATCCTCAAGGATTCACAAAGTAGTTGTCACTTCTTGATCCATATCCAAAAGTGAACACACACTTCGCTGTCTCCCCATGTTGCGCAGGAATGTAGTCCAAGTCACAGACTACACCAAGAAACCAAGCCACTTCTGCATGTCTACATAAACAACCCAAACACAATGGCTGATAAAGACAACGAACCCTCAATTCATTATGCCATTGCTATAACCAACACAGTCTAGAGCTGAGCTTTTCTTCTTATGTAACTGCTTTGAAGTTCGGTGTTTGTATAAATCATACAAACTGGGCTGTTTTCCTTAAATACATTTAAACGACTGTTCCTCTTCTGAACCTGCATCGTTAGTCACAGTTGCTGTCTCTGTTGTGGCTTACATTGCTACAAAAGAATGTCTGACAGGTAATGGTAATTTAAGGCATTCAGAAGGATACTGTGACACATGGTAAATAAAAGGTAAAAGCTTTGCTTACTTTGGCAGTCACCCAGGCCATCTGTATTGCCATGCTCTATGTCCTGTTCAAATGCCAGTCTAAATAATATGAAGAAACAAAACAATATGAACAACAACAGTCACAGGCATAACCAGAAACAAATTATCACACGTGCAACTCAAATAAAGCCCTGCCATGAAACTGTCCATTTCTTTGGAAATTCCACACAAAAGCTGAAAAATTTTAACATAGACATTTGAGTTATTCATCATTTCCTTAATTATTTCTTGGTTTCTGATGATACTTTGTCTTTACATTATTACTTTTTAAAAATCCACTGCATGCCTCATTACCAAGGGAGGTAAGCAGAATTGTATTTTTAAAGTTCTTACATATATGATATTCTTAGGAGCAGCTATAACCCTACCTTAACTTGTCCACATAGTAGACAAGGTGCACTGATACTTTGGTTTTAAGAGGAAAGCTAGCCCACTGGGCAGGTACTGTGCTGGGGGAAGACTACCTGCATTTCAGCAATCACTTAGGTACTGCACTGGGACGAGGTTGCATAAGGTCCAGTCCATAGAAGGCATTTCCCTTAACTGAAGAGGCTCTACTGAAAAACACTCAAAACCTTTTCCAGCTGACTTGCTCAGTGTATGCTCCTAACCTCTGACTTTGATTGTTGATAACAATTGAAGCTGTTCTTCCGACTTCCTGTATGGTCAAAGGTGAATGACAAGAACTTTGGGAAACTTCCAACAAAAACTCTTGTCTACATTAGTTAGGATCCTGCCCTTGAGGCGTAATTACCCTTACAAACACTTAATTCTCAACTCCATGTTCTCAAAACATCTGCTCAACTGCCACCTACTCCAGGAGGGCACCAATGTCTTTGGCTCCTGTTAGCTAGCTTGGAAGTTCATCAGACACCTTCACAGCCGATCTGGACCCCCTTCCTAAGTGCTGATCAGAGTATGACCTGCCTTGCTCCGTTTTGGACTGCACCACTGCAAGCTGTACTGCCTTTGGCTTGATGGATCTATTGATGAATGCAGGAGCTGCTTTTAAAAATAAGGTACAGAAGTACCCTACAACTTGCCATGGAAGTTCAAAAAGACTCAAGCACTTTTGGAATGCTGAGAAAACCTGATGTGGACACAGGTACATTCTACAAAATGTCCAACTAGGAATCGCCCACACTTTGGTAGTACAGCATAACCTGATGATACAGCTATAATATCCCCGGTAGGCAAAAGAATTGGAACTGAAATAGCAAATTAAACATATGACAGAAGAAGAGGGATTGTAACTTATGTATTGAAGACCTATACAAAAGCAGGGTTAGGTGCGGCCAGCTGTGGGGCTGTCAAGGCTGTGTGATGTCTGCACACACTTACACTACCTGAGGAGGTATAGCTGTATACCTGTGCTGGTTAGGACTGAAGTAGAGTTAACTTTCTTCACAGTGACTAGTAGGGGGCTATGTTTAGGATTTGTGCTGAACACAGGGTTGATAATGCAGAGAAGTTTTTGTTATTGCTGAGCAGAGTTTACACAGAGCCAAGGCCTTTTCTGCTTTCTGTACTGCCACGCTGGCAAGGAAGTTGGGGACGCATGGGAGACTGGGAGGAGACACAGTCAGCACTGGTGACCCAAACTGACCAAAGGGATATTCCATACCATATGACATCATGCTCAGTATATAAGGTGGGAGGAAGAAGGAGGAAGGGGGGACATCTGGAGTGATGGCATCTGTCTTCCCAAGGAACCGTTAGGTGTGATGGGGCCCTGCTCTCCTGGAGATGGCTGAACACCTGCCCACCCATGGGAAGCAGTGAATTAATTCCCTGGTTTGCTTTGCTTGTGTGTGCAGCTTTTGCTTTCTCTATTAAACTGTCTTTATCTCAACCCATGAACTTTTCTAGCTTTTACCCTTCTGATTCTCTCCCCCATCCTGTTGGTGCGGGAGTGTGTGAGCAGCAGTGTTCTTGGCTGCTGACTGGGGTTAAACCATGACAGTCCCTCAAGAGTGGGTAAGCATGAGGTGTGTCAGAAGTGGCCAAGAAATGAGACCTCTTCAGTGTGTCTGCTCCCTGCAACCTTCACAGACTTTCATTATTATAAAATAATTACATTCAACTGTTAAGCAAGGGGAAATCCAGCACTTCCCTAAATCTGCTTTAAGCTGTTACTGTGGTCTGTGATTCCTCTTAGTAATGCACAGTGAATTAGAAGGACTGGTTTTGTTTTCAGTGGACAAATTGCTTCAGTAATTTAATTTGGTTTCTATTGCTTCTTTAATCAGCTGTGATGGCTCCAGTGTAGGCTGGTCCAGACATATCCATCCAGTTCGCTCCTTTCAATAACACACAGACCTTAGTACAGCTCTTTCATTGTCTTCTTCCTCCTCTTTCAGCACTTACCAATCGGCTGAGAGTTCACATCAAAAAAATTTGTGAGACATTTCAGAGGTGAATGTAAATAAGGTATAAAGAAACACTTCCCACACTCTTCCTTCCCTATGAGCCCCATGTTTCAAATAGCTCTGGCCGCGGCCACCTGGCACCACCGCCAGAGCTTCATGGCCCATCCAGCCAGAGCCCTTACTTACTTGGAGCCAAGGACCAGTTGTGTGCACACCCCGCTTTCCTTCACCCATCCACAGTACGGGTCTCTGGATGCTATGCAGGCCCTTTAGACAGAAGAGCACAAGGTGGAATTCGTGAGCACTTCTGGCTTCCCCACACCTACTACACAGCCTTCTGACGGCCACCAGAAAACACGTACTTTTTGCATTTGCCATGACGCTCACAACGTCCCAGGGGAACCTTGATGACACAGGTGGAGAAGGCAATGTACAGAGCACTGCTGGGCTTGTCAAGCTGCATGCCCACAATCCGCTTGTCCTCCATGCCGTCGTAGCTGCACCTGATTATAAGAAAGTGAGAGAAAGTTACAAATGGGTTCTGCTGGGAAACCAGAAGAAACCTTAATGATTCCTCGAGCTGAAAAAAAACCCCAGGAAAAATTCCCACAAAAAAACCCCCAAGAAAGGTAGAATTGAACAAGCCACAGAAAAACAACACATAATAGCCACTAAAATCACTGCTAGACATATAAGCAAGAATGAAAAATGCATGAGATAGGGGAATAAGAACTGGAGAGAGACAGCATACCAGACAAGCTTCTGAGGGCCCTTCATTTTTCATGTTTATTCTTCTGCAGCACTCAAAGTAGCTGAAATTTTTGCATGATTATGGCCCACTTCAAAGCCCCCTTAGGCATATTTGAAGAAGGCAGAAATATGGAAAATTTCCTTTGGAGAGCAGCTTGCTGGTTGTTGAGTTATTTGGAGAGGAATCAGGGTTTTATATAGGATTAGAAAATTAATCTTCCTTTGCAGAATTTCACTTTTAATTATCCATCCATAGGATGGGCTATTTTCTACACATACTGAATAAAAAATCTTACTGCAATGTAGAGACTGATAAGCAGACATCCCCTCCCCAAACAATTTAAAATTACTCAAAAAACTTGGCTTCTCTAACCACTTCCCTTTCCGTGGGACAAACTACTCCCTGGGAAATCAGAAGTTCAAAGCCGCCTAAACATGAATACAGAGAATCATATACACACTTTTCAGGGTTGTAAACGTTCATCTCCTCCAGGAAAAGGCTGTCATTTAGGAAACCACTGTTTCCTGTTCGTGCCAAGAACTTCAGGATGATTCCCTTCTCTGAACCCAAGAAAACCACAGTGTAGTTCTGATATGGCCCAGCAGCAGAGTCCACGGCAATTTTGGTCAGGCGGTATCTAAAATTACAATACAGCATTTTGCATTACTTGGGATTAGACTGTCATGTATCACTTTTCCCACTTCAGGTAACTGCATGGCAGCCTTCTAGCAACCATTTAACATATTTAAACACTTTTCTTACCTGAGTAAAAATCAACACAGACTGTATGACTTTGGCTCCCCAGATGATGGGGAATTTTAATGTGTTTGCACATTCATATGTCCAATAGCTATCAGAAATGTCTGCAGAAAGCTGAAGGGGTGCTAAAAGTCAGAGGCCATTTATGAATTATCCTTCCAATCAAATGCAAAGTACTAGCCTGGTAATTTCTTCAGGCAGGGAACGAAAGTCAGCACAATGAACTTTTTTTTAAAATTTCAAGCTCTTTTACTTTAAAAGCAGCAATATAAAGACAACTGAACTAGATTCAACTATTTCTTTCGGTCAGAAAAAGCTATGCTAGTGCAACAGTGAGACACTAAATACCATATTACCTCACTAAAACAAGCACACAACTGCCACTAAGCAAGTGCAGTACTGAGAGGATATCGAATCTTGAGATGATGCAATTTATTGAAAAGGAGTATACTGGTGATTTGGTACTTGTTAGCTGATACTGGCTATCAAGGGAAAGCACTCTGCAGAGCTTGCTCCTCTGATCATTAATTGGAGGTACAGAACCTGACATAAAAACCTGACAGAAGATACATTACTAAAACTAAGTCAGACCCTTCCAGAGCTAAACACTGCCGAGCACAAACTCTACCCTTGTTCAGAGGAAGCAAGTAAAATATGGCAAAAGTTAGCTGCATTATTCTGTTTACAGCTGGAGGGTAGATAAGCAGTATAGTGGCCACCACAGAGAGTGAGAATATATTTTCATAGGAATGGGATGGTGTATTTAACACTTGCTGATTTATGAGTTTTTGTTGAAATCTCTTATTATTTTTTCCTGTTGTCATAGAAAGGATACAGATTATGTGAGTACCTCTGACTGCACACTTCTGCAAAAATTAAAGCATACCAATACATAACCTGACAGACATCTGCCTATCCTGTGAACATATCCTGGCAGACATGTTTGTATCCTGTGTACATATTCATGAGCTGTCTGATGATCCTTGCCCAAAGTTTTCTACAGAGCTGTCACAAACACTGACCCATAAGCCAACTGGAGGGTCAGACTTCCCTGCACAGCATTTTCTCCAAGATCCAGCTTCAGAATAGAGTGCTTGGAAAGGACTGTAGGTTTTTCTGATCTTGAAAGCTGCTCAGGAGTTCTGTAGCATGTGCTCAGCTCTGCCACCATTCCTAGCTGGATTCATGCCCAGCACACCAAGGACATTTACAGAGCTGGGGATTATTCAGAGCAAGGCTACTAGCACAACTCAACAGCTACAATGAGGACAAGAGTTCACTTTGTGGTACGTACCTGACCATTGTTCTCAGGAACCAGGGTCGATTAACAATGGAAGGTACAGCCTCATCCATCAGTGGATGTGTTTTGATGAAGTTCAGAGTATCATCTGGGAACTCGTTAGATGTTACATATTTTTCTAACGATGTAGAACCAGCACAGCAACCAGGTCTATATAAAACAAGACAGTAAAGTCAGAACATTTATTTGATGTCTAGGCCAAATCTTGTTTTGTGATGAGACCCTCATTGAAATCTCATGTGTTTTGCAAGAGTTTAAATGGAGCATTGTATAGGCTAGTGGACTTGTTCAGTCCCTCAAGGGAAGGCTAAAATCCCGCTCTATCCTCCATTCAAAGGGACTTCACGTGTTACCTAAAAACACACAGGTACTTCCTCATCGGGGGTGTGACACAGTTTGTAGTTTATCTGCTTACATGGAATCTAATCACTGAATATGTACATTTGGCTTGTTGCTGCTGCTGGCACAGGTGCTTTCTGACCTGTAATCTGCTTAGCTGACCGCACTTCCCTGGAATAAACGCAGTCCCTAAAATACAGAAGGAAGTTGATTTTTTTTTATAACAAGTGTGAAAGAATTCTGCTTTCAGTTCTATCTTGTAGAAAGCAGACTACTGGAGAAGACAACCCAGCTAAGCATCCATGCAAACATTGGTTTTGCCCTTCTTTTAGTTTGGATGAGATGACTTTAGAATGGTAGCACATTGAGGACTTTTGCTGAAATGTCATCTATCATTCTTTGATAACTTAAATGTAAATGCTCATCTTATTTCTAAAATCAACCCTGCTTTTAAGAGGTAACCTAACTTTGCTGCCTGGACAGGCCATCCTGTGTAGGAAGCAGCAAATTGCTTTGCCAGTTGCTAGTATTTTGTGGGTAATTTTATCCAACTAGAAGTCCATTTGATCCCATTTTCTAGAGTACTATGATTCTTCAAACCTTTCAGCCAATGTGAGATGGGAAGATAAGAGGTGGACCACTAGCTCACAAACACACTGCAGTGCCCAGTTTTCAACTCCTCCCAAATGGGTAGAGTCAATGGCATCGATGGAGTCATGTCAACTTGAACAAAATACAGCACTGATCCTGCCACATGTATTGCTCACATTTAGGTAAATATTCAAACATTAGGCAAAAGAATTTTATGTAGGAAGGTAGCATAGGACTGGAGGGAACTAGCTGCATCAACAAGCCTGGGTCCACAACAGTCGAGCAACGAACATTACATGCAGAGACTCTGTGGTCTTGCCTCTTCATATCCAAAATATTTTGGTTATTTATAGAACTAATAATAGAGGGAGAGCAGGAGAAACCAAGGGCATCACTGGTTTCCTAGGTCCTTGCAAGGTCACTGACTCATGATGCAACATTCCCAAAGAGCTTGAGGGAGAAGCTTATACCTTCTGATACTGTGGTGCCTACGGTTTCTCCTAAATCCTAATTGCATGATTGGATTAATCTTATTTTAATCTTAAAACCAATTTAATCAAGTGAACATAAACTGAAGTAAGCCCTGCTGTGCACCTTGACCAATCAGAGAAGTGAGGCTTCTGAAAATCTCTGTTGTTTCTGAGAAATGTTAGGACCAACAGGAGCAGTAAAGTTTCTGCACCATACTGAGATGCCCAAATAAAAATGACCTTATTTCTAAGGTGCCTCTCATGTGCTTCAACATGAGTTAGAAGTAATGATTATTTCTATTAAGAAGATTGATGTCCTAATGTTACATGAAACAGGGTTCACCAATTAACTTCACATTACCTCCTGCAGGCTTAGAAGGAACAGTATTATCCCACATTCATCATAACTGTTAGCCTGCTATTGGCTCACCCCAAACACATAATACAACCTTCTCTTCTTCCTTCCCACTGAAAGAGATTTCTTCTTCTCCTTCCTCCCTTCCCTGCCAGTATCATCTATCTGAGTAAGTTCCAAACAACCAACCTTGGAGCCTTGTGCAGCCTTGCACTCCCAAGGCAACCCAATGTGTAAATGACTTTTTGAAACACTACACAATGGAGAAGAAAATCCAGCAACAGTGATAGAAGGTGCCTTACTAAGGCTTAGATTGAAAGCAGACAAAGAATTTACCAGATTTTCCCGTCACCTCTGGGCTCTTCTCCTGAGTGACAACTTCAGAATAAAGACAGCAGAGGAATATTATACTTGGCAACTCCAAAACATGAGTCAAATTCAGATTTAGGCAGAAGCTCAGTTACCACCATGGAGCTTCACAGAGTCATAGAATATCCTGAGTTGGAAGGGACCCACGAGGGGCACTGAAGTCCAACTCCTGGCCCTGAACAGGACAGCCCCAAGAATCACACCATGTGCCTGAGAGCATTGTCCAAACACTTCTTGAACTGTCAGTCTTGGTGCTGTGACCACATCCCTGGGGAGCAGTTCCAGTGCCCAAACACCCTCTGGGTGAAGAAGATTTTTCTAATATCTAACCTATCCGACCCCTGACACAGCTTCATACCATTCCCTCAGGTCCTGTCACTGGTCGTCAGAGAGGAGATTGGCACCTGACCCTCTTCTTCCCCTTGCAAGGAATCTATAAACTGCAGTGAGGTCAGTCTCATATTCTCCATGCCCAACAAGTGAAAGTGATCAGAGTCACCCCTTTTATGGCTTTCCCCCAAGGCCCTTCACCATCTTTGTGGCCCTCCTTCAAACACTCTCTAACAGCTGTAGATACTTCTTACATTGTGGTGCTCAATACTGCAAAGAGTACTTCAGATGTGTTTTTCATTTGAAGCTATTTAAGATATCACAAGCAATGTGAAACTTGTATTAAAGTGGTAGAGCTTAAGTAAGATAAATGAATTTGATTTATCTACATGCATATTGTATTCTCAGAGGAAAATGCCTCTGATATAGATAAGTTAACAAGTGTCTGTCAACAGCAACTTGTACAAAATGGGTACTTGTAAGAAATACAAAGAAACTATAATAGAGGAGATGAATGCAAACAAGAGCAAAGTGGAAGCAGGGAAAACAGTTCATAGGAGGAATGAGGTAAACTCAATCTCCAGTTTGGTGGAATGCTCTTTTTTTTTCCCCTCCCCATAAATCATCCACTGTCGTACTTAAATTGCATGTTAGCCATAGAAAAGCAAACTGTAGAACTGGTGCAAGCTTTGTAATGAGATATATCCATTACTGAACCAATTTGTAATAGGTGTGTAACTTACACCACTCTTAAGTGATTATTCTGACCAAGTGGATCTGATATTGGCCTGATTTATGTTACACATCTCATTTAAGCAGAAAAATTATCACTTGCATACTTTATATACAAATTCAACACAACTTCTATTTAACTGTTGCAACATGTATAATTGTATTTCCACCTTACAAGGCTGTTTGAATTACAAAAAAACCCTCTGTAGCCTGCATGAAGGAACAGGACAGTATCACTATACATGAAACATACCTGGGTTTGGGCACTCTTTCATCAGGAACTGGTGTCCACGTGGAGTCTGGAGACTTCTGTTCTTTGAATCTCCCAGTAAATACATTGGCAATGTCAAGCATGTCATAGGCACAGACTGCAGAGCCAGGGATGCTGCAAAGTGAAATTTCCCAGAAATTTTTACTCATTCTGCAGTTACGCATAAAACCTTGAGTGAAATACATGCTCTGTACAAGTCTTTCTGCCACAGGATACTCAGTCCTGAATTCTGAATCTGGTACTGACAGGAAAAAACAGCATCACGGAAAAGACTAAAATGTACCAATCAGAAGACAGTTCCTGCCAGTAGAATTTATTTCGAAGCTTCTATAGAAAGAAGTAATTGCAATTATCTCGAAGAAGGGAAATACTCTGGGAAACTCCGGCTACCACTGGCAATGCACAAGGAGTAAAGGCCAGTCTCATTCAGAGCCCAGTATTTGCAAATTTAAGTTCTCATAAGTTACAACATCTCTCAGCACTCACTCTCAGTTCCTGTCATGCCTCAAAAACACACCGCAGACAGTTCAGAAGTTGGTGCTGATCACACTGGAAACATGCTGCTGCATGCCATTGACCTGGCATTTATATGTAATTGCCCCATCCTCCCACAGCCTGATCTCCACCAAGTTTTCCCAACAGAAAGGAGTTAATGGTGCTCAGGAACTTGCTCCATTCAGTGAGATGTAAAGAGCTTATAGAAGCAAATTCAATGTTATTTTTAGGTCATAATCTTGTAAATTTCATCTTTTTGAGTATTTCCAAGTAACTGCACAACACGATTGTCTAAACATAATTATATTCTTACCTACATACTTTCTGAAAGGCTTAGGGGTTTCCTATGCTCAGTCACCTGGAAGCACAAATTATTCATTCATCCACTTTTTCTGTTTTTTATACATTAACTACTGTATCTGTGTCTGACTTTCACCACTTGATTTTATTGGCTAAACAGCATGAACTCAGCTGGCTGAGGCTTTCAATCATGCTCATAGCTAGTAGGTTATTATACGCTAAAGAAAAAGTACAGGAACTATAATACTGTTACAGAGAATAAAACTAAACTCTTAAGGGTATATAAATTTAAAGAAAAATAACTGAATATTAAAAGGTTTCAAAATGCTTATTACTGAAGGAAAACAGGTGAAGAGACGGTATGAGTCTTACTTTGATCTCCACAGATTCAAAGCTCTGTATTAATGTGATACTACACAGTAGGATTTTTAAATGGAGACAGTCACACATCTATTGATGTAAGAGGTGGTCAACGGTATATTTGGCCACACAGAGGACCTCACCCTAAAAGACACCTCAAGACCCACTCCAGCTAGAAGATTTTGTACTTTGTTGAATGAAGTCCTAAAGAAAAAAATAAAAAAACAGCCCAAAAATCTTGATCTGTGTTACACAAAAATAAAAGTGTTGAGAACTCTGCTCAATATACAGCTACACAGTGATGGAGGGATTGCTGCAGTGAGAGGACTGTGATGTATTTTCACTCTTGAGGATGCTGGTTTGCAGGTCCATAGGATGATAAAGTGGCAAGGAGGGAGTACTATGGATCACAGCCATCTCCCAAACACTGGGCTACAAGCCATCACCAGCTCCTACCCTGAGTGACCTCAGGATGCACTGACGAATTGCTTCCAGTTCATTTTAGCAGGAAGCTTTTTTACAGAGGCCAAAGGTGTTTGTTGCAGCTTCTCCTTAGTGGGGGAGGAATGAAACAGGTGTGTCCATGTCAGAGGTAAGTTTCATAGAACTGTAGAATTATAGAGTATCCTGGATCAGATGTGAGTCACAAGGATCACTGCATTTCAACTCCTGGCCCTGAACAGAACAGCCCCAAGAATCATACCATGTGCTTGAGAGCAGTGTCCAAAATCTTCTTGAAATCCATCAGGCTTGGTACTATGACCACTCACTCCCCTGGGGAGCCTGTACCAGTGCCCAAACACCCTCTGGGTGAAGAATCTTTTCCTAATATCCAACCTATCCAACCCCTGACACAGCTTCATGCCATTCCCTCAGGTCCTGTCACTGGTAACCAGGGAGAAGAGATCAATGTCTGCCTTTATATTGCTTCCCTGTGAAGACCTTCACTATCTTTGTGGCCCTTCTTTGGATGCAGTCTAATATTGTGGTGCCCAAAACTGCACACAGGACTGAGGTGAGGCTGCCCCATCGCAGAGCAGAGCAGGACAATCATCTACCTCAACTCGCTGGTGATGCTGTGCCTGATGCACCCCAGGAAACGGTTGGCCCTCCTGGATGCCAGGTCTGCTAATGAGGTGTCTACAAGACTAAGTGCCTTCCTGTCATCTTCAGCATATAGCAAACACTGGGGCCTATAAAATAGTATCTTGATTTTTACACCAAGTACTTCTATTTGAAAATGCAGGGTTTAAGGAGAAGTAGTATTCATGACACGCCACAGGAAATACTAGCAGAGTGAGACAATCTTGGCTTTGAGACAATCACAAGGTACAACCTATTTTCTGAGGCTGCATCTCTTTGTTCACCTGTTTTTATTAAGCCAGATGGCATTAAAAGTGATCATTTTAATTTAAGTTTGTATTCCCTATTAGTGGCATAATTATTCCATTGTATTTCCTATTTTGTTAATGTCAAAAGCAGTGATTATACATTACGGGTACAGGCTTACTCTCATTTGAAGTCAATCCTGTGAATGACCTCATGGAGGTCAGGCGTTTACTTGAGGTGGCAAGTGTATGCAAAACTAGATGAATTTCATCAATAAAGTTCCCCTTTCAGCTCAAATGTTGCTCTGTGAAACCTAAGTATATTATTTAATTAGAATGCTACCATTTTTTAAACTTCTTTGGGGGTCTTCAATAATTAGATACAGTTGCTATTCTAACAGCTTCTGGAGAAACATGTTATAATGTGTAACAGCAATAAAATCTTAGCAGATGAACCAAAGCTTTTGGATAACCATGTGAATGAAGTAGCACAGGTATTCTGGGGACTCTCCTTCCAAGCCAGTAAGACTGCTTAGGACCTTGGTTCTCCCAGGAGAGTCAAGGGTCAGCAGGATCAATACAGGGTCAAGGATGAATGCAAGAGTCAGCAGGGAAGCACAAAATAAAGGGAAGAAGCTAGCATAGTTCTTCAAGGTTTAGATACAAACAGGACAGACCCAGTCCTTTCTCTGTGAGGAAAAAAATACCCTATATTCTCCTTGGAACCACATCTGCAGGTTACACACTGCCGCACTTCTTGGTGGCCGGTATGAATTATTCCCATGTAAAGAAAAGCACATGCAAGAAATGTGTCCAGACAGTAAATGGCTGAAAGCTGCTCTAAATCATCAGATATAAAATGCAGTAAACAATACCAGGGTACCTTAAAATGAAACACAAGTAAGTGTGTGGTACATAATAATAACATTGTAGGAGCAATCACTTCTTGTACTTTCATAAAGGAAAAAGAAACTGCAGTGAAAAGCAAAACATAAAGGAAATAGAAGGTAAAAGGTTATTGTGCCTATTACCTATTATATGGAGTGGAGAATGTTGCTAAAACAACATCCCGGCCATTGAAATGGATAACATCTGTAACTGCCTGCAGTATGTTAAAGTAGAAGTGTGAATCACCAGGAACTGAGCAGTTCAATCGAGCCTTGAGAAAAGAAGTCCACTGTTTTTCCAGCACTCTCTGAGACCCTCCCATGTCATTTTTGCAAACCTGGGCCACCCTTGGGAAAACTACCTGGAAGGGGTAGAGCAAAAATAATGGAGAAAGTTAAATGCTTGAACTAAAGACTTTTTTGGAATACTGCTTTTAAAACATTTGGAATAACATAGCAAGGTGCTTAATATAAAACCACACTTCTATAATCTGTGACAAATAAGAAACTGATTAAAATTAAGCTTTGAAACAGTGTGCTATGAAAGATAAGACTGTGGCATTTACTATACAGACATAAATCCTTCAGGAGATCTGTTCTCAACCCATATAAAACTCATTTCCATACAGACTACTTAGCTTTCTATTTCCCCAAACAAAAGCACATTTCATATTCACAATCCCTGCAATCCACACTCCCTGGTCTAACTCTTGTGCTTTCAGCACTTAAAAAACAAGCAAATCTTGATGGGCTTTTATTCCTGCTCTCCACCTTTGTGACCTTGGTCAGCTTTTCTGACTGCTTAGTCAGAAAACTATTGTGAAATTAGCAAAAATGCAGAAAGCGTTTAATTATTCTTTGCAGAATGGCAGAACATGAAATTCCAACCCTGTTTACTCAGCACTACAATTCATATGTCTTAAAGAAAAATATCTCCTTGCTTTGGAATCCATTTGTAACAATTGTCTACTATGCTGAACTATCTACATTTGCCTTGTGCTTTTTATAATTTCAGAAAAGAGCATACACCTCCACTGTAAGAAACCACACTGTTTCCTTTCAAGACCATGCAATGTTTCACTCCAACCAACCTTTTAGCATGAGCAATAGGAATCTTCTCAAAATGATGACCTTGTCATCGTGATTTATGATTCTCATTTCAAGGTCATTCCTAACAGCATTGGTCCAAGAATAGCATATGTTTTCCTCCTCCTGAATCTGACAAAGTCATTGAAGGCAGTGTTTTGCTCTTACCTTTCCCATGCTGTTGTACTCCACTGCTATTTCCCGGAAAAAGAAGTATATGTAATTGCCATAGTCCACTGCCTGAACAAAGTATGGTTCTAGGAAAAAAAAAATGACCCAAGACATCCTATTTAGGCACCAAGTACAGCATATAGAATGGAAAGAGAAGCCAAATACATTCACAATTGATATTCAGAGGTGAAATGTCTGCATTTGACAAACTTGATCAGTTTTCAGAACTAACAACATCACTGCTGCAGAAGAGTCACTGTCTTGGGACAGGAGAGCTGGGGACAAGTCTGTGCAACATCACTGCAAGGTAGTATTTTCCACTAATACATCTGCACTGTGTGGGGTAAGAGGAAAGGTAAACAAGCATTTATAATGGTATGCTTGAGGGGTGCTCTTTATGGCATGCTGGCTGTGAGCGAAGGAAATAAACCATGTAACTGTTTCTGCCCACATGGGTCTGTAGCAGCAAGTAAAGTGGGACAGCTAAAGTTGACACCTGGCAAAACACTTCTGCACGCAGAAAAATACTTCAAACTATGGCTTTGCACACTGATAAATTAAGTCTAAATGCTAAATATTCAAAACAGTTAGATGAAGCTAAACAGCATCGTTCTTAACAATGAGGGCATTTAGAAAACAGAAATTGCCTAATTCAATGGCAGCAGTACAGTCCCTAAGAATCATAAAAGCAAGGCTTTGCACAATCTTCCCATAATTTTATTTTCACTAATGAATGTTAACAATACAGGATAAACCCTTTATTCTTCATGAAGCCTCAACTGTTAACTAACAGTCCTGGGGAAGGAATATTTTCAAATACAGCCGAATAACACTGAGCCCTGCAAGTTCCAGCCTTTACATCCAACAGACGTAAACTGATGGATTTCAGCTTGGAAAGTTCACTGGAATATATATTCTGATCTAGCCAGCTCAATTCTGTCAGGTCCAGTAACTCGGGGTCAGGAGAAGAGAGAAAGAGATAAACAGATCATTGTAAGCAAGAGACGCAATCTAGTTCCTCCTTGCTGCCAAAACGCCTTGGTGAAATGAAATGACAGAGAGGCCTGTCAGGAATTCAAGACTCTCATCAGAAATGCTGCTTTTTTCCTTCTTGTTTGTTTATCTACCTTTCAACCACTTGGAGTCATGTTTAACTGTCCGCAGAGTTGGGCTGTCTCCAAGGCTCCGGTATATGACTGCATCTATTGCAAGGAAGTCGGTCACTGTGGCAGAATACAGCTTTCCTTCTAGGGAGGAAGGAAAGAAGAAACAAGGTGGGAGGAGCATTACAAATAATAGAATTGCTTTCTCTCATCATTCAAAGGAAATGGGGCAAACAAAAGCATCACAATCTCCTTAAGAACACTGAAGGGAAAAAAATTCAGCTAGGTAAATGGGACTAAGTGCAGAACAAGCAAGTCAGGTATTTGCAAAACGGTAATTTCAGAGAGATGCTGTAGGATTAGAAACCTTATGAAATAATTCTTCTCCTGTTTAGGTATGTCATACTAAACTACCCTATCCAGTGTTAATGCACATGCCTCTGATTCAATGGTCATAAATTCTGCCTATGTATGTAAGCAAAACAAATATAACAAAACTGTTGGTGTTTACTGGGAGTGTAAAGCAGACAGGTCTTGGAGTCTGTCAAGTAAATGACACTTATGAAAATTTCTCCCTTTAAGAGTACTTCTCCTCTGCCAGACATCACTAGGAAAAAATTAAATAGAGAGCTGGAAGTCCTGGTGAAACAGGGATGCAAAGAGATGGAGGAGGATTGCCCCTCAATGCTACCTTTTCTAAAATGCATTTCAGTCATTTCCCACATGAATTATGCCTTCATCTCTCTTAAACAATGGGAGGACAAGTGATAAGAAAAGATCTACAAAATGGCACCCCAAGGACAAAGAAAAGAAGTAAAACTATCAGGGTGTAACAGTCTAAACTTCACCAACAGTCTAAAATTATATTTGTTGTCTAATCCTTTGCGGGCCACGGTAACTGCATAGGATTGTTTTCATGTGTGGTAGGAGCACCAGTATTGCAGCATAAGGACAGCAACTTGTGTCTCTTATTTCTGCAGAAAAATGAGAGTTGCCTACATCTCTTCTGACAGAGATTATTTTCGTGTCTTGAAGGCATCAGCACTAAGGACATACCCAGGACAAAGTACCTCATTGCACTTTCAGACAACATTTGATGTCAGCTCATGATTTAAAATTCTTAGTGTTTTTTATTAGTGGAACTGTAGACTTTGTTCTGGATCACACAATTCTTGTCTTTATTTGGCTACTTTAAAATGAGCATTTTTTTCCTAGCAAAACAGAAAAAATAATTACAAACCTTCTCCCTCAATATTAAACCCAAAATTAGAACAGAATAAGAAGATGAACTGTTTAGATATGGGTGTCTGAACCACCACATATTTATTTTCTTTCCTGCCAAGTTCCTGAAGACCATGTGACCAATTACATTTCGCACATTTCAGCTGTAATAGCTACAGGCTGCAAGAAGTGCCGTATTCATGTTAGTGCACCCAACAGATTTGGATGAACTGTATTAGTGCCCTAAACTGCTCTGAAACTGCTTTTCACTGTCCTCTGACAAGTTACCATGAGTATCTTGGTATATAAAACAGTGATTTTTGAAGCTAGCAGAGTTACAGGGTATATTCTACACACATTTATTTGAACAGTATCGAATTTATCCTAAATTACCAAGAAAGAGTATGATAATTTCTATAAACATTCTCTTCATTTTCAAATAATGCGAGGATTTCTTCAGTGACAGAGTGGGAGGTATCTACATGCACAGTGAATGTTTACAATATGCTGGTCATAAATGCTTTCTTGGCCAGTATGGTAAGAAAGACCCTTCTGAAAGGTCATTCAGACTGCTCTAAGGATAGGAAATCTGAGATACATAGGAAAAATATTTCTCTGAAGGTGTTTATCTCTTTCCATGCTTTATGAACTACCTGCTACAACTAGAGAATTTCTACCGTATGTTTTTTGACTGTAATTAAGAAACTACATACTACTACCAGCATCAGCACCATTATTCTTGAAACAAAAGGAGCCATTTATTCACACTAGAAAGAGTAAAAAAACAATAAGTTGCTCTCTTTTGTGAGGCAGATGATGCCACCTTAAACACAGAAGTGAACAATAAAGCCCTTTGGCCATAGACTCAGTTGAGAGTGGCTGAACTACTTGTGCACTCTTAAATCTTCAGAGAAATAACTAAAGTATTTCCATGCGAGCACCCAGGCCCTGATTTCCAGCATCACATCTGCTGAAGAGGACTGACATTATCATGGATGACTTCTTTATTACCTTCACCACCAAATTTACAGCCAAATCTAAGAAGAGATCAGCATGGCTCACACTAAGAGCAGTTCAATAAAGATAAAATGTAATCAGGAATTCATTAAAAGACATATAAAAATACCACTAAATCAACAGCCAAAATTAACCCTATTTATAAGCCCTCATTTTTTCTAACTACTGTAGTAGCAATCAGAGTTAACTGTATTCTGCTGCATGCAGCATAAATCACCACTAACCAACACACTTCTCTCCTTTGTCTGAAATAGCTAGTAAGACCATATTGAGATGTTTTCAGGTTTAAAATAAAATTGCTTTCCCTTTCCTTCTAGATCCAAAAAAGGGCACATCACAGCATTTTCCCTAACTTCCTTTTATTATGAATGTTAACTTAGGCTTAGAGTTGTTAAAGAACACATCCTGTCCAATCCTCATTAAAGTTCACACAAGCCTTGCCCTCCTTTGACTTTCACAGAAGCTGGATGCTGCCAGAAATGGTCCCTCACACTGGTCATATTATCAAGAATACAGGAAATACTGAAATACTGCACCAGGAAACTGTGGCATTAGGCAATGTTTATGATAGTGAAATAATCCCAGAGAAGGGAAGGCTTTTGTGCTAGGGATTTTATTATGCCCCCTACTTTTAGTTGTTGTTCACTCCTTTTGCCATGTTTTAGATTTAGGCATTCTGGACTCAAGAGCCACAGTGCTATGGCAAGCCTGCGTTGCAGGACAGAAAGCAAAAAGTTTATCTCCATCACTTTACCTGCAAACAATGCAACGTTGGCATGCTTTGCATCATATGGGCACCTGGCCATTCCACTGAATTCGTCTTCCAGGTGGTCCAGGGTATCCATCTGAAAAACCAAAGGGAGTTCCTCAGATAGAGAAACAAACGGTTTTACCCAGATTGAGGCTTATGACAGTGTTTCTTCTTTTCTGGGCAGGGAGGAAGGTCCTTTCTCTAACTCTCTTCCTGACTATGAAGTAAAAACCTGACAAAATTCACGGTGTTAAAAAAAAGCAGCCTGAAGAAAGTGTGCCCAGAAAGTTAAGCATTCTTTTGGAGCTAGTCAGTCTTACCCAACACAATGTACAAAAATCTTCAGTCTATATTTTATCTGTACACAAGTTTCCTTTTGAACTGTAGCAGGCTATGTGGTCTGTAGTTCTGGCAATGATTCAAAATTTATCCTCTACAGTGATCCAACAGAAGCTCTCTTATACACAGAAAAGACTGCAAACAACAGCAGACAGAAGAAACAACACTAGGACAATTATCTCAGTGTGCATTTTTCTCCCCGAAATCCAGAGATCCTTCTGCTCTAGTCTCAACAGTGGTGCCCTCTTCCTTGATTTGCATATTCAGAAAGATGCTCTTCTAGGTTTACTGAATCAGTTGAGTCTGTGTCATGGAGAAATCCTCTTACCATCAGGCAAGAATTAATCTGTGCAGGAATCATAAAATCAGAGGCTTATGTGTAACTCCTGGGAAATAAATTCACTCTGGGCACTGATAATGATACAAATATACAGACTGACTTTATGCTAAGTTCAAGAAGATTTAGTGAGCTAAGGGGGAAATGTACACCTCTCCCCTCTTTAAGATTCTTATACTACCGTATTTTGGGAATAAAAACCTTTCTAGCATATTCAGGTAACTTGAGCAGCTCATACTGTATAAATCACCTACATACAGATTCATGGAGCATGAAAAATAACCCACATGGCACCATCAACAACTCCAATCAACTTTTTGTTCATATGCTACAGCTTCCAAGTCCTCCTGTGAATGATTTGTTATCATTTATTTTCTGTCATATATCCTTCCTGTCAAAATCCACTCTTAGGGGAGTTAGTTGTGTTTACTCAGGGGCTGAAAAGCATTTCATATGATAGCGAGAGGAAATGAATTGTGCTGAGCAACTTTTCCTGCACCAAGCTCTGCACCTGGGTTCATGCCCACATCCATTGTTAAGGGACATTGTTTAGCCCCGTTTCTGTTTGGCACATCTCTGTATAACGCAGAAGTACTTGGAGGAAAAGCCAGGGCAGACGTTGTAGAGACCTTCTGCTGACTGTCAGAGGGATTACTGTCCAGCCCTGAGAAAGGTGAGGCAATCTGCAGGCAATCATAGGGAATTAAACACCTACAGTAAGGGTAAGGAGGGCCATTTATACCCCTCACATCAGGATGCCAAGAAAATCTGTACTTGTATTTAAACTACAGCTTTCTAGCAAGGGTTGAGATTTGCTAGCCCCATTGATGGTATTCGGAGCTAAAAAATGCCAAACTGTACTAGAAGATTAAATACAGCACTGAGACCTGGAAGCTTTGTTGCATGCTAGGAGTGGACAAGGAAGAGAGAAAAGAAGAATGCTATTAACAGAGCAGCCTCATGTACCACACAGTTAGCAAGACATAAGCTCGTATTTTTACTCAGATTTGGGTCTTCCTCCACAGACTGAACGAAAATACTACCCTGAACATCTCTCCTATGTTTCCTAGACTGCAGCCATTACAGTGGCTAAACGAGGTCAAGCAGCATTGCACAAAAATCAAGGAAGAGTAGCAGTCACAGTGAACACCACTAAGGAAGTAGTTTTCTTGGATGTTAATATCTTTATTCTGTTTTTTACAATAACTCCGAACACAAAAAAACGAATGGGCATTGTGCTGCGACTTTGTCAAAAGTAGTATTAGCAAAGCTGAATTTTCTTTTTTCTGAAGAAGGATAAGAAATGACCTGTGTGACATAATAACAGTGCCTGAAAAAGCACACTATCAAATGCCTAAGTAAATTAATTTTAAAGCTACTCCAGAGATATCCACTGTGAGGCATATATTAGACTATACTGATGAAAGCCTGAGAAAAATGGGAAATATTTCAATAAGTGGGTCCTGTTGAAATGAAGATAACAGGGACACATTATGTCAAAGGAACAAATTGGGGTCAGAGCTGACCCCAATACTGAGTATTCATGGACCATCACAGTTTCCTCCACTGCTCTAGATAATGTTTTGGCTTTGCAGATCCCCAGCTTGTGAGGAATGCATCGCTGCCCTGCTGTATCATTCCCTGTGGAGATCTGCTGTTCAATCACTTTCACATCACACAACACCCTAGGATCTCCACAGCCTCTCTATCCACTGGGTTTCCAATACCAAATTCAGGTTTTCCTGTGCTAAGCCCTCAAGCATCTTGAGAACTGGTTTGAGGATTGAGAGCAGTAAAATAGAGAATTTAAAACATGCTAACCCAGAATTAACCCCCAGCACTAGTCTATGACTTGAAGTGAGTATCAGTGACCAGCTGAGGAACTCTCTGAGGAGTGACTACGTCCCCAAGCAGGTATCTGAAGGACTCTGCCCCTATAGAGGGCAATGCAAAGTGGCAATACTCTCGATGTGCAGGAATTGCAAAGAAGTAGGTAATGAATCTGAGAAATCCTCAGAAATCCAGTCAACACTGAACTTGGCAGCACTGAAACAAGTCATAATAAATGCTTCAGAGTTGAATAGTGCATGGTTAAATCACAGCCTCATGCTGTTGCCAGCATAGTCACAATAAATCCAACCAAAGGACAAGGCATAAATTAAATTCCACAAACAGATCACATACCTTGTAGTTCCTGCAAGAAGGGTTGAATGCATTTGTTCCACAAATAAACAGTGTATCCTCATTTCTTTTTAGGAGAACCTTAATAAAATTATGACATTCATCCTGAAGAAAAATAATAAAAACTATTTCAACTACTGCATTTTGGGTATCTATTTTTATTTTTATGCCATGATATTTCATTGTCAGGTTTAAAATGAAATTGGCTGGTTGTCATTGTGATATTATGTGTTTTATTTCAACTATGTTTAACCAACCATGAGCAAATTGCAATTGATTTATATTCTAGTGATTTAAAAATGGTTACAAGGAACAGAAGATTTGACAATTCATATTACAGCTCATGTTTTGCTATTGTTTATATAGGTGAATTTTGTTTGAAAGCTGTTGCTTTCTTCAGGAGTGAAAAATCTGATCTTCTATGTTACTGTCAGACAGTAGCATCACCACTACAATTTACTGGCATAAAGCATCTGTAGCTAGAAGGGACTAAATGATCTTTGAGGTCTCTTCCAACCTGTTTGATCTATGATTCTATGTAAAGAATCAAAAAGTCTGCATCTAATTATGATACTACTTGGGCTAGTCATAGTTTACGGTAGGGTGAAATTGGTGTGAGAAACAGTCCTTCTACAACTACACATTCATGCTTTCTGATGCTTTATGCAAACTTCTCAGTAAAGTCCTGCAGGAGGATGGACAGCAGCACGTGGCTTTTGAAGAAATGGAAAGCAAAATCAGTACACTAAGCAGTGTCCAAAATCCTCAGTACTTTAAGCAGTTCGGGATAGTGCTGTGACTTCTGTTGTAATGTTTTATCACATTCAAAGTAAACTATTTTTGCAAATTAAAACCTTCAGTAAGTTGATGGAAAAAGCAATTACGGGCATGAAGTGAATGGCATGATCCATTCCACATCACAGACAGCAGCCTGAGATAATAGTGAAGCAACTCAAGTGGCAGATGCAGAAGAAATGAAAATTGCCTACCTTATGTTTTCCCTTCATTCTGCATGTGTCTACATCAGCTTGTCTAGATTTCCACGTCAATTTCTGCAAAGATCAAGCAAGAAATCAGTTAGAACTCAGAGACTGTTACATTAGGTTTCTGTAGCAGAAGTTCCTTAGGGGAGACTAGCTGTCGAACACATATTTATTGAAAGTTTTCTGCACCCTTTCTCAATGATTAATTCACCACAACAATGAAAGACCAGTGATGCAGAGCATTCACTTAATTTTATGTTGCCATCTATTCACTCACCTGGAAACTCATCCTCTCTTTTTAAAACCTAAACCAACAGAATTCAATGATAAGCCAACTTTGATAAATATGTGTACCTTTCTTAAAAGGGCTAGATGCTCTCTTCTTTAAAATCGATATTGTTCTGCAAATCAGAATTAAGAATTTAAGGACTATGAACCTTAACTAAGTTCTAAATGAAATATGTATTACAGAAGATGAAATTTTACATCCACAAAGAAATCAAATTTAGTTCATGCTTATAGCTTCAATTCAACTAACAGGCTCAGTGACCCCTACACCTGCCAAGACACTGCTGACTTCATCTGTTAACACTTCCTCCAGAACATTCACAGATAAATCCAAGCCTAATTTTTTTTTGTGACAAGTTTCAGGAATGGTCAAATGTGGAAGGTTCATTAATTACAATAAAACTTTGTTTGCAATCATATGGCCTAAGACAGTATCACCTTAGGCACTACTGCCATGATAGTTCTAAGAGTGTTTCTGATCAGTAAACAGAGGCACTGTGCATTCATGAAGGGCTCCAAGCTGAAAGAGTAAGCATGAATGCTTATTTTCACTATAAGCCTGTGCACTCACTCTCTGATGAATAATTTGGCAAAAGTTTATAATCAGCGTCATTCATAGTTATAATGATACACTCTCCCCTCCTACAGTGGAATTCATCCAATGCCCAAATTCATACTATCTTCTGCTGGACCAAGGCTGTGTTTGGCACATATTACACAATATGAATGCAATGCAAAGTAGGGATATCATTTTCAGTACATTTATGTTGATATACTGTACAGTAATACAGATAAAGCTCTTCTTAGTTTCAATGTAACTTCCCAGGGTGATAATGCGAATACATCTAAAAATCGATGTTATAATAAGATTTCATTTAATCAGTACTTGCACGAGTGAATAAAATTTGTATGCATGAAAATATGTAACTTGCTTTTTATGATGAAAGTTTCGGTATACTTAATTGGGATAGTATAGTTTTTACAGAAAACAGCTACATATAAATGAATAGAAGTTTGACAGATGTTCCATCAGTGACCTCACTATATTTCAATATAGATTGCTTATCAGCACAGCTAAATCACTTATCAGAAATTTGCAGAGGACATGATTGCTATTCTAGCTTCCCCAAATATGATTAGCAATGCCATCCTACTTGCTTATTACAGTTTTTACAGTGGCTCTGGCAAGTTGTTTGAAACAATGCTATCTTCCTTTTTATTTGAGGCTTGTTCTAGTGTCCTTGGTTTCTGGATGATGATAAAAGCTACTTACTTTGCTAAAATAAATTTCTTCTGTATGCGATGTGTCCATATCAACAGTATAAATATGGTCCCTGTAAACAAAGACGAATGAATACAAAGTCAAACGGAGTAGTAAGACAGTTCATTTTCTATGAGAGAACTATCTATCACAAGAAAATCCCTTCTAAAAAAGATCACAGGTCTAACCAGGAAACATTATTGGCACCATTGCCTGCTTCTCCCAGAGAAGCACTTTTGCATATAAACTGTCTGCCTTCTCATTAAAACAAAAAAAAAAAAAAAAGTTTACAAACCTCAAAATAAGATTCTTTCCCAAAACCAGATATTTGAACAAATGACATTTGGAAAAATAGATGAATCTCATATGATCTCTGTTCTATCGGTCCTACAGAATCTAGCATGCACATGTTTTTCTGTATCCTGAAATCAGCTACAATATCTCTTAGGCAGCCTTTGCCAGACTCCTGGGCTAGAAGTCACTGCTCCACATTTAGCCACTTGAACATTAAAAGAGGCTAACCTTTCCTCCCTTTCCTCCCTCCCTCCTTCCCTCCCT